ATTAATATTATAAAAATATTACATAAAAAGTATAAATGATTATAAAATTTATAATATGTTAAATTAAAAGTACTATATAATAAAAAATAATAATAAAATATTAATGAATAGAATATTGTTTATCAATAACACTATTCACACACCAAAAAAGCGAAATGGTGTTGTGTTGGAGAGTCAAAATACCAAATTTTACGCCAAAATAGCGTTTCATGGTGTTGGTTTGAGATTGTCCTAAAGTCTTCCCATTGACTGAAAATCTCAAATATCTACTATTTACTGCTTGACTTATATCGTATGGTAAAAAAAAAAAAAGGAAGATCAACTTCATTTTCCTTTAACCAACTCAGAGTCCGTTGTTGATCGACTTCTGTAAGCCTTTTAATCATACTCATACTATTATTACTGCATGTAACTTCCACAAAATCTCTCTGCAATTTCTTGAAATTTCAATCCCCAATTCCTATCAAAATTATTTCCGTTTCACCCATAAAAGGAAAATATTTCTGAATTCACTGTACCCATTCAGTTCAATTTTTTTCTTATAACAGATGCATTTGTGTTTATCCATAAAATTGTGAAGTGGGTATTAATCACAAAGACGAGCAAAGGAAGATCAAGAAATTGGTTGAAATGGATCGTATCAGTGGCTTACCAGATGGTATTATGATCGCTATACTTTGTTTTCTTGACACTAAAACTGCTGTAAGGACATCAGTATTGTCGAAAAGATGGAAATTGGTTTGGACTTCACTCCCTGTTCTTGATTTCAAGAATGTTGCTTCTTATTCCGGCTTTCCTAATTCACAAATGAAATTCATCTTCTTTGTTAGACATGTTCTTGCTCGTCGTTGTAATTCTCAACTTGTTAAGCTTAGGCTTTCTGTGTACGATATGGTTTACTCATCTTTCAGTAAAGAATGTATGACTTATGCTGCTGATCATAGAGTTAAAAATCTCATTATCTCTGCATTTACTACTAATAACCCCGTGTTTATACCAACTTGCTTGCTCTCTTCTCAATTTCTTGAAGTCTTGGAACTCAACTGTGCGATTCGTAATAGTATTGCATTGCCAAAAAGTTGGACCTTTGCCAACTTGAAGTATCTCAAGTTGAAGAATTTTGTGTTTAGTGATGACAACTTTGATGATGGGAAAATCTTTTCTGGATGTCCTAAGCTTGAGAGTGTGATTTTGTGCAAATGTGCAATTAGGGGTAAAGGTAAACTTAAGGAATTGGAAATGAAATGCTTGGAGTTAAAGAATTTGGAGATATTATATTGGAGGAGTCCTTTGAGTTGTTATGAAATACATAGGATTAATGTGATTGCTCCAAAGCTTTCGTCTTTTGTGTTTAAAGGGCATGTTGCTAAGGTGTGTTTTAAGGAGGATTTGGGTTGTTTAGATAGAGTTTGTATTGACTTGCGGTATCCTAAATGGAACTCTGCTGAAGATCGAAAGAGATGGACTGGTGAATGCTTTATGACCATGCTTGGACAATTCTGTAGCGCGAGGTTTCTATCTTTGTCCATTGACACCATTGAGGTAACAATAAGACCTTCCCTTTTCTTCTTTTTCTTGTTTAGTGTGTGTCGGGAGAAGGGGTTCTAATCTCATTTAACAAGACAATAATCTTTCTGTATTTTGACCAAACAAATGTTTATAAAGGTGCTAGTGAAGTCATTCATCACCTTGCATTTTTATCGGAAAAGAGAACGCTGTGTGTTATCCGTCTTTGTTTGTCTATGGAAGGGGGAGGGATATTGGGAGTTGGGTGGGCTAGTTGAAGAATTTGCTCACTGATTGAAGTGATTATGTGTATGCCTAGGCTCTCTCTGCTATTTCTGGAATACGTGAATATGTTACTTTTGGCAATTTGAGGCATATAAAGTTCATAACTGAGGATAGATCTTCATCAGTAACTATGCCCATTAATGCTGTTGCTGACATACTGAAGCGCACCGCTGACGGATACTTGGTGTTCAACGCGTCCGAGGTACTAAACCATGATAGAAACTCGTGTTATTATTTCAATCTCTTTTTCATATTTTACTTTTCTCTTTTGATCTTTTGAGTTTGATATCTCAAATTTCTAGTAGAAGCCCTTTCCTGAAGTTCAAAATGAGGGACTTAGAGTGACCTTAATATGCAGAAATATCTTCATGAGCAGTTTTTCATTGGAAAAAAGCTTGTGGCATCTTATTTGAGGGTGGTTTCCATTGGATTAGGGGTTCTTTACTTGTGTATGAACTTCGAGTGACTTCTGTAATTTTGTATCTCAACTTCATTACGTGATAGAGATTCTACTCCTATTTAGTAGAATCCTTCTCCATTCTGATTCTACTAAATAGGAGTACTGTTTATCGACTTTCTTATATTCTCGTAGCTGAGCTGCTGATAGATATAGCAACTTGGCTTGGATTTGATTTTCCTAAGATGGCAATTAGCTCGCATTCTCCTTCTCCTCTCTATTAAATATTATGTATCGACTTTTTTAGATTCTTTTAATTTGAGCAGCTTATTGATATAGCAACTTGGCTAGAATTTGGTTTTCCTAAGATGGTAATTAGCTTATATTATCCTTCTCTGCTCTATTAAATACTGTTTGTCGACTTATTAGATTCTTGTAATTTGAGCAGCTTGTTGATATAGCAACTTGGCTTTTGAATTTGGTTTTCCTTTCTAATTTATTGTTGCACTACTTAGATTGCATATAAATTAATTATTTAGACGTTATACTGATCTCCAACTGACCTATTTTGATTTCAAATTGTAGGATAACAAACTATCCACCCGTGGCGAATCATCACATTCAGATGGAAGAAAAGTGAAGAAGGATAGCAACATCATTGATGTACCTATACATCTTATGTCCTACTTACTGGAAATTGCTCCTCGTGCAGAATCTTTGACAGTTGAATTTACTAAGGTGGTAATACTTACATACCTCTTCATTCTTTGCTCTTTTAAGAAGCAGATACTGGAACAAGGAAAAAAATAACTACTCAAGATTATAAGTTTGAAAAGGACATGCTTTTTCTTTGTTATCATTTTAAAAATAGGTATTAATTTGATTTCAGGAATCGTTTGAATGTGTTGGAGTAAGAAGTCATGGGGAAGAGTAGCTTGATATACCAAGATTCAAGAAATGTAGGTCCACTGTCTAATTTTGTCGCGAAAGACACATGTAATGTCCTCATGCTCAATCTTATTCATTTTCTGAAAGAATAACACATTCTTGAAATACAACCTTTTGGTTTCATGTGTTTACATGTATGGTTCAGTTCGGTTATCAAAAAATACATGGCTTAGATAACTGTAATGTCTGTTACTTCAATCAGGTTTTTTGTAAAGCAAATATTGTGAATTAAACCATAATGAAGAAGGTGTGCTGCATATTAGGTTCTTCTCTACGTCTTCCTTAAAACATGCTAGCGCATAGCGCAGTATATGTTTTCTTGCTGTCAGTTTATTGGAGTTAGTTTACAATCTGTTCATACCAATATATAAGTTCCTGTTAGAATAAAAGATTTGTATGAGATGAAGCAAAACCACATATTCTGTACCTCAACTATCTCATGGTATATGAATGTTCTGGGGCAAAGGAGAGGGAGAAAATGAAGGACCTATAGTCAAGTTTTGCTTCTTCTATTCTATATTGTTGGTTCCTTATTTTCCTTTTTTAGATGTCCATAATTTGTTTTGTTTTCTATAAACAGGAAGTATCCGATATTACTCTTTTTACATGATTATATGTCATCCCACACCTTATTAGTATTAAATTTGGAAAATTGATATCAAAATTTTTGTTTGTATCCCACTTTTTGATCCGCGAGTAGCATTTCCTTTCACTGAGGAATGGGCGGATGCTTTAACATGCACTTGAGTCAAGAGATTCTTCTCCCTAAGTAGCATTCTTGTAAGTAAAGAAGGAGTTCTCCTGTCTCTGAAAATACTATGTGAAAATGAGCAAACAACTCAATCTGGGGTGTAGGGATGTCTGGTGATTTTTGCACTCTTTGGCAAAATTCTTTTCTTTTTTTATATTTAGAATTCAAGTTTGAATATTACACATATTATTTTAACATGTTACATATTTGGCTGGTGATGCTCATATTTTTATTTAATATATGGTATATGTGATAAACCTCATACCATATATTAATGGTATATGTCAAATATACCGTATGTATTTAAAGTTATAAGCTTTATGAATTATGCATGGTATAGTTTATTTATATACATGTATTATACTATACTATATGGTATAATAAAAAGATATTAAGGATATATATGGTGATAAAGTAGTATAAACATTATTATTCAAACAAAATAAATAACATATAATTTGTATAATGTATAGTTATGTATATTACACCAAATGTATACCATAAAAAGAAAAAAAGAAAAAACATTATAGAATCTATAGAATTGAATTATAATCCCCCCCCCCCCCCCCCCCAAGGAATCTATTTATTCTTCTTTCTTTTTCAGATTAATCTTTCTTCGATTTGGGAATACTATTTTTGCTGATATTCTATGTATTCATGCTCGTTTTTATCAATTTTGGTCAATAGTGATGATGATGATGATGATAGAAGTATAATGGTAGAGAAGATGATAGAATTGTTAATGGTGGCTATGGTTTTGAAAGGGGATAAAGTTATGGAGGAAAGAGAAAAGTGAAAAAGAATAAAAAGGGATCCTTAATTTAGAGGGATCAATTTTTTAAAAACTTTTATAGGATTTTTTGTTAAAATGCTAAAAATGTTACTCCTATTAAACTTGATTATTTTGAAAATTTCAAAAAATTGTATCAATTATACAAATGAATTCTTTTAAGCTGACACAACAGNATATATATATTTGACTCTGTAAACACAGTTGGATTCATTTTTTATTCTTCTACCTTAGTATCTTATAAAAGGCTAGAGTAAGAGATGATTCTAATATGACAAAGTAATATAGAGCAAGAAAATATTATCTAGAAAATAATAAATTTGTTGTTTGTATATGTAGATGGAACATCGTATGTGGATGTACGATAGGAATATTCCTAATCGGCGGGGTTTAAGAGATGAATTTGTACAAGGTATTGATGATTCTTTTATAATGATTGTCTATATACCAAATTTTACTTTTAATGTAGAATCGATATAGAGAAGCAGTGGAAAAGTTCGCTAGGAGTCAGCTGACCGATGAGCAAAGCCAGCCAATCATGCCATCGGAGGAAGGAACTCTCCCATTGTGGTTGAACGTGGTTGGAGGCGTGTATAAGGGTAGAGCATACAACCTTTCCTCCGAGCGCAATTTTCATTGCCTCGCGTGTGGACTGCAAGGTATATACCTTTTGGTTAATAAGCTCTTCTTTTTGAAAGCTGTGTTTCAGAGTCAGTTAAAAGAATAACATATTATGGAAATACAACCTTTTGGTTTCATGTGTTTACATGTATGGTTCAGTTCGGTTGTCAAAAAATATATGGCTTAGATAACTATAATGTCTGTTACTTCAATCAGGTTTTTTGTAAAGCAAATATTGTGAATTAAACTATAATGGAGAAGGTGTCGCATATTAGGTTCTAGCATAGCGCAGTATATGTTTTCTTGCATGTTAGTTTACCCTTGAGAAGTCAGAGATCGATCTTATTCGCTGCCGAGAGATCTGATTACTTTACTTGTTTTGTTCTTTTAGGTACTCAATGTTTTACGATATTTGCTTTTAATCCATGAATTTGGATTTCCCTTTCTTGATGTCTTTTCCAACGCTTAATATTTTACTAATTTTCGATGCGGAATAAGATTGACTAACTACGAATTATTTTTGTGATGCAAGTCGTTAAATTGTTTCTTGGATAATGTTATACTATAGAGGTTATGGTGAGGCAGTGATTCTTCTTGAATATGTGGAGATCTCTTTACAGATTTTCAATCTACACTTAACCACATGACTATTATGACTCATCTAAATGCCTTGTTCTGCACTCTTTGAATTGTAATAGTTCTGTGATATGCATTGCTGTAAAAATTTTGTACTAACTTGAGTCTTTATGCTTGTCTGATAGTATGTTCCTTGGTTGAAAATGCCCATGTTTTCTGTTTTTGATGCTTCCGTGTAGTGTAGGAATCAGGAATGTTTAGTCCAAAGTCATTGCATTGCCTTAAAATAGTGTTATTCAATTCTAACTCTTTGTGTATTTTTTCACTTCTCTTTTGTGGATTACAAGGTATTGGTACATCCGCCACCGTGCAAAATGAGGACCTTAGGAGATGTGTCGAACGATTCAACAACTTTCTAGGAACGGTGCAGATGAACGAGAAAAAAAAACATGAAGAGAAGATTAGAGACGCACTTAGGAATGACATTGACTCCCTCAAGGCTCAAGTGAATCACTTAATTGGCCTGCCCCGCTCTCAGCTAAAAAGCCACATTTATGAAGAGGATGAAAGTGACGGAAATAATACAAATGATGAATAAGATGAGGGGGAATCCGAAGATGAGTGATTTTATGTTTGGTTGGATTGTTGTTTAGTTGGATGTTAACTTTGAATGTTACATTTTGATGCTTGGTTGGATAGTTTTGATGTTTGATGGGATAGTTTGGATATTTGGATGTTTGATGGGATAATTTGGATGTTTGGATATAGTTTATAAAGTTTTGTTGTTGTTAAGTTGAGTTTTATTATGGTTGCATTTTAGTTTGTATTGTAATATTCTGCTGACATGTGGTGCAACAAAAAACTAGGCACTGCCTGCCAAAAATGTATCAAATTTATAGAGGGACCTACCGACAGAGTCCGTCGGAACAATTATTCATTTTCAATCCAGAATTCTTAATTAGCGAGGGAGTCCGTCGATAGACTTGAACCAAATTTTCAGATTTGGTTGAAAATACCGACGGATTCATATTTTAAATTTTTATATTACTAAATTAAAATTCTAAACTTACTGATGGTGTCCGTCGGCATTATTAAATTATTATTTTTAATTTACCGACGGATATCCGTCGGTATTGATATTATTAATATTATATTATTTTATAATATACCGACGGATATTCGCCGGTAAGTAAAATTATTTGACCAAATGTTGTCAGAAATATACCGATGACTTTCCGATGGGGTCCATCCGTAAGTTACCGACGGATTCTGTCGGTACATTTTACCGAGGAAGGATTTACCTACCAACCACTTACCGACAAACTTCTACCGGTAAAGCCTTGTTACCGACGGACATCTGTCGATAACTTGCGTCGGTAAACAGGTGATTTTTAGTAGTGATAGGAGATGAGTTGGCACCTCTCTTTAGCCAAGGATCCTATTTATTTATTTTCTCTTTTTTTTTGGTTTTTCCTTCTTCTTTACCTGTTTCATGCTTTTTTTTTGCTTTCAAGATGGAATTAGAGGAGACTTAAGTGCCTAAATAATTAGTAAAGTAAATGGGATGGAAATAAATGATGAAAGAACGTTACTTTACAAGGCTTTTTTTTCATCTTGCTATTCTTTATTGCATTTTATGAATCCATAAATATTGTTAAAAGTTACGTTTCATCCTCAAATATAGTGAACTAATTAGTTGAGAAAGTGGAAACTATTCTTAACCAATGTATTTGTTGGCACAAAATTCTTAAGAAAGCAGAAGCAAGAGTTTTGTGAATCCTCCATCATTGAGACGCCGATAGGAGCGGTGAATGAAGAGGCAGCTGCGGGACTCCTTTCGGTGGAAGTAGTAGAGAAGTTGCGGATAAAATAGCAATACCAAGAACAACGGTATCTAGGGCATTTTATATTTAGACAAAGAGTCATTCATCCATCCATTTCACATGAGAGTTGCGACTTGTGAGCACAAGACAGGCCATGGAAACATTTCTTCTTCTTTATCCTCATGTATAACACGCAACATGATTGTCGAGTAATAATAATGATTACCAGAAAATTGAATTTAATTGATTGATGTGTGTTTGATGGTGAAATGAATATTCTTATGTTTTTTCTTTTTTAGTTTTGTTTTCAACCGACACCATCTTATTTAGTAGTAGTAATTCTGTTCACTTGAATTGACACTTAATTGTCGGATGCTGAGATAGGAAGAAGTTTTGTTATCAGTTGTGATATTTCAGTGGGAGCTCTTTGGGGTTGATTGATTAGCTGTTGAAAAGGTTCAAACTAAATGTAGCATACTCTATCTATAGTAGAAAGAATTAAGTATTATCTTTGTGCATATATGTTGATACTATATAGATCGACAAAGAGAACCTTCTGTGATTGAGTCGCATAACTTTTGGTTTCCCATTTGAGATGTTAAAACATACGGTTAAACGAGTTATATTTTCCTTACTTTTTCTTTCTCTTGGGACTTCATTTTTCATGGGAGGGGAGAAAGTTGATTTTAAGGCATAAGCTTATATTTGCAATTCTGTGTTTCGAGTATTAATTCAAAGGCACACGGAAAGATTTATTGTTTTTATTTGCTTTAAGGATGAGATATATAATGGGAAAACAAAGGCCAACTAAGAAGGATATTATAGAGTTAAATTGCAAACTGATTTTCAAGGAAGAGCTTCCGGAAATTTCAATTAGGAATAGTCATAAGCTTATGCTGAGAGAATTAAAGGCCAAAAATATGGGGAAAAGCAACTTGCATGAAGATGAGCCAGAATGTAAGAATGCGTTAACCGGCCTGGTTGAGTCAATGACTAGGTTCAACTCATTTGGATTACCAATTGCTTATCCAACAAAACTGTGCATCCTTTTCTTTTCTCTTTTCGTTGTTCCCTCTCTCCGTATTTGTTAGTCCTTAATTCTGTTTTGTTGTTCCTTCTCTTTTTCTATTACTTTCCTTTTTAGTTAATCTTCTCAAACAAATGTCCATAGTCCAATTGGTGCAAAGGCTTTTGGCATCTTCTTGAATGTTGAGGGATTTCTCAAGGAATGTTAAAAGTTTCTTTAAGGCTCGGATATTGTACATATATTTATGAATGACTCCTTGATTTGAAGTTAAAATATTTGAAGTTGAAATAATTGTACACTCAGGGGTCGTTTGGTTTGAATATGGCTTATGCCGGGATAAGTTAAGTTATATTGGTATATAAGTTATACTGGGATTAGTTATACTTGAATTGTTTTTTATCCATTGTTTGATATGTTGTATTAAATATGACAATTGCATAATTTGTAAGAAGAATGTATAAGTTATACTGGGATTAGTTATACTTGAATTGTTTTTTATCCATTGTTTGATATGTTGTATTAAATATGACAATTGCATAATTTGTAAGAAGAATGTATAAGTTATACTGGTGCTAATTATCCCATCCTCTATAAGGTATAAGCTATCCTGGTATTAATTTTAATCCTGGGATAACATATACCTAGTTTGCTAACCAAACGAAGTAGTAAGATGGTATTAAATTTTTATACCAGCATTATACCTTCTTATACCTCATGCCAAACGATCCCTTAGTAGTAAGTGGATATGTACTTCACTAGGCAAAAATAATAGTTTGTGAATTTTTAAGACACATGAGGGAATATAACCAACAATAAATTGGTCGTTTGGTTTTCTTTATGTTTTTAGTTTCTTTAGTTTTTATTCTTTGTTGAATAGTAAAAGGAATCTCACATACACACATATTTAAAAGTGAAATATTTTTCATATAAACTCTAATTTTCATAAAAATATTTTATTTGTGATTTAATCTGTTAATAAAGTTAAACAAATGCATAACCAAAAAGTTTCTAATCTATTCTATCACGACTAAACTTATAAAAAATACTATTTTTAAATTTACTGATATCTTTTACAATCATGCGAAGCGCGAACAAATTCACTAGTTCAATGAATATAGTTTTTGGATCATAAATCATATTGGCGGATCTAGAGTGTTGGGATGCGATCAACTCGACTCATTCATTAAATCTTAAATTTTTAATGAATTAATAAAAGTAGAGTTTGGTGGACCTTCAATGACGAATACAGAATGATACCTATAATCCATAAAAACACACTTAAGTACTGAATTTGCTATAAATTTAAGAGATCCGTCATGAAAAAATTAAATATTAACATTAATTTAATATGAGCATTACTCAATGGAAACACAAACAAACACTATAGGTTGGTCTGCCCCTGCCCCACATTTTGTAAAATCTTCCACTTCCGTTTCATACAATATATTTATGCAAATTTTTCCTTTTTAAGTACAAACAGAACATCTATATGCGTGTAAGAGCAAATGGTTTCACAATCTTTGGGGAGAAATTAAAAAATAGTCAGATTTGCNGGAGAAATTAAAAAATAGCCAGATTTGCAATTGGTCGTTTAAAAATAGTCCAGCTTCAAAAGTAATCGAAATTTAGTCACTTTTCATGTAAAGATAAATTTGAACGAAAACACTGTTCAAAATCCGGAAAATACACCAGTATATTATACTGGAGTTCCAGTATAAGTATGCTTGAACTCCAGCATATTATACTAGAGTTCCAGGATAAGTATGTTGGAACTCCAGCATAATATGATGGAGTTCCAGCATAAGTACACTAGAACTCCAGCATAATATACTGGAGTTCCAGTAAGTATAATTGTCCAGTATAATATACTGGAGTCAACAAAGTATACCGGTCTAGCATAATATGCTGGAGTTCATACACAGGTGCACCGAACTCCAGTATACTATATTGGACCGGTCTCTGTTGCAGCAAAATAGTGGCTATTTTTCATTGACTTCGTGAATACTGACTATTTTTAAATGACCAGTTCAAAAACTGGCTATACCGTGCTATTTTTACCAATCTTTGGGATGTGGCCTAGACAAAATTCCCACTCTTCTGGCCCAATTCGATGTTGTTGCAAACATAACATGGCTGAGACATGCAAACTGTTTAGCCCAATATGAAACAGATAAGTTTTTCCAAACATAGCTCAGATACTCCGCAACCTCAAATATATTCTAGTTCTATTAATTGAGGGAAAAATAGGTAGAAGGATCTCTACGCAATAATTATGTATACGGGTAAAATCAGCGGTAATGTCTACCCCGATTCCCTGATGAGAGCACGAAGAAGGAGCACGGGTCCGGGAGACTGCAATTGAAGTCAGAGACCCTTCGTAACGAGACCCTGGAAGAGTGAACGATGTATCCGACATCGAACATGGTAAAGCAACGCGCCCCGGGCCGAATGTAAGTTCTAGACCTCGGACGTCACAGTGAATTGTTACGCATGAGGGATAGAGGGCCGTGATACTCGCCCTCAACCGGATATCACGGCGCGAATCTCGTTCGATGTCGATTATGGGTCAACAATTACAGGAAAAAGAAGTTTTTATCTTTTTTAGACTTATACTAAGATTGAAACTCTCTTACTATATAAAAGGGAAGTTTTTCTTTTGTAACACACATTGTAACACGCAATTCAAGGCAATAAAAATTTATCTTTACCTTCTAGCTACTGTCAAGAACTTTATACTTGTTCTATTCTTCATTCAGGACTGGGTACGAACCGAGGGTCCAATCGAGGACGAGGCCATTGTTCAATACAAGATCAAGCTTGGTCATAACACCGCGATTTGTTTGATCATTTATTTCGTCTTTAATTCGTTTATCTGCTATGCTTAATTATTCGAGTTGAATTAAACCACGTATCCTTAAAACTGCGTACAAATTTAATTGTTACCTAATTTTGG